TCCTATTCTTAGGAACTATTACCTGAGAAAATGTTCATCATATTGGGAATAGACTGAATACTTGGCATTTTGACACTTCCTGACCATGTGCATATGTCAAAACTCAAAGAGCCTTACAACACAGTTAGCCTTAATGTTAACTTTGGACTTTAGAGTACTGGTTCATTAATTATAACAAACATGCCAAACTCACGTACTCATGTACAATGTTAATAGGAGGGAAAACCCCACACGCGTGCGTGCGTGCGTGTGTGTGTGTGTGTGTGTATGTGTGTTGAGGGGGATGGAGAGTGATATGGGAACTCCATGCGATATGCTCAAATTTTCTGTAAACTTAAAAGTTTCTAAAAAATATAAAGTCAATTTTAGGGGCACCTGGCTGGCTCAGTTGGTAGAGCATCCCACTCTTGATCTTGGGGGTCATGAGTCCGAGCCCCACACTGGGTGTATAGATTACTTAAAAAGAAATAAAAGATAAAGGCAATTTTTAAAAATTGAAATGTTTATCCTGTAACAGTGTCAAGGACTAAAGAAAATTTTTAAAAAACCCAAAAAACAAACAAACAAAAACCCACAGCAGCAGTTACAACAATCTGTCAAAGATAGGTGATTTAAAACTAAACCCAAAAAGGAAAAGGGCTGGCAACAATCTCAGGAAGCTTTTCCTGTGATCCAGCACAAACTGGGGTTGGAATCTGTGAGGACGGAGAGAGCTGTAAAAACGTGGAGCATGTTCTCCGTTTCCCACCTACAGCGCAGGGATGAATACTTCCACATAGTCTAACACAGCTGTTTCGTGTCCCCCTTAGCTCATTTACTACCTACAACTGTCCCCTACACAGGTGCTGCCCACATCCACACCTCAGAGAGGAGGAAGCAATCCCAAGGCCACAGGACTGCTCAGTGACAAGAGGGGGGACAGGAACCTAGGCACACACCTCTGCTCCACTTCTGTCTCGCCCCACGGCCCCTGCGGGGCCCTGCGGTAGGCCTCCCACCCACACTCCCAGGACCATGGCGCCTCCTCATGTCCTGTGTCTGGCCGGAGCGGAGCACAGACATCTGTGACCTCGGTGTGGAGCACCAGTGGATGACCCTGTTCTGCAGGGAACCCCGTGAGTGCACAGAGGGAGAGCAGAGAGCTGCCGGGCCGGGGGCAGGTGGGGCCCTCGTAAACGCGGTCCTGGGCAAACAGCCGCCCATGGAAGAACGGCAAAAACAAGCACGGCCAGTATATTCAGACAAGCAAAACTCTCCCAAACCAATTGCCCCCAAGAGCCCTGAGATATTCTAGCATCGTGTGCTGATGTTTGAACATAGACAGGCTGAATCATATTAAGGATATCACCCTAATACTGATCTCCTGGTATATCCTTAGGGTAACTTGCACCCACATCAATCAAAGAGGATCCAGAAGCAAAAAAAACATGCCTGAAATAAATTAACTAGAATGAAACCTGCAGCCGTCAGGATTAAAAGCAGCAAGTCAGCAGGTGCCTGGCTGGCTCAGTCTGTGGAGTATGGGCTCTTGATCTTGGGGTTATAAGTTTGAGCCCCACACTGGGTTACTTAAGATAAAATCTTTAAAAAAAAAAAAAAGTAGTAAGTTAGGTCTTTATCTTTGGCAAAGTTAAGCACTCATATACCATGAGTGAGTGCACAATGTACTTGGATAAGCGATTCAATTCACCATTTACTGAGCACATACTGTGGCCTGGACACTGAGCTATGTGGCAGGGTGCAAAGACAGGCAAGGTAGGTCCTACAAAGTTGTACTTGGTTAAGATCTTCCATATGTAGGGAACACTTTATTCAGAAAATGGGATTAGGGTAGAGAAAACAATGACTAAAAAAATTGCTGCAAGAAAGCTCAGTAAGGCTAATGACAAGTAAGAAGAATAAAAGGAAAGAGAAAAAGATTGAGGAAGAACAGGACAAAAATTCAAGGTAGGAAATATGCCACATGATCATCAGAACTTTTTAAAGAAATGTTTGGTCTTTGTTTAAAAAAAAAAAGGTGGGGGAGGGGATTGCCTGGATGGCTCGGTCGGCATCTCAGGATCCTGAGTTCAAGCCTAAAACACAAAACACAAAACACAAAAAAAACCCCCAAGAAACCAAATGGCAGGCAGCACCTGGATCACACAAATATAAAGTCCCCAGGACTGAATGTGCTGAATTCATTAATTCCTTCACGGAATCACTGGACCTCTGGAAACAGAAGGTTTAGGTTTTCATAATGCCTGCACAGTGTGTCCTCACTTCCCGTGTGGTGGCAGCCTGTCTTGGGTAGTGTCCAAATGAGGAATCTAGTCTGATATAAACAGTGGCATCATGACAGAGAGGGATACAGGTCATCAGGATTCATTTAAGTGCAAAGCCCTGGCCTCCTCTCAAGTCTTTCAAAGACCGCCATGTGAGAAGTTGATAGGTCCTTGCGTCTCAGGGCTCACAGAGGGTGCTTCAAAGACAAGGCCACCACGGTCGGGTGAACTCTGTCTCCAGCTCTGTACTCCGCCTGATATTCCAGTTTCCAGCAAATATGACTGCAGTGCCCCCTCACAGACCTCACAGTTTCCCTTCCCTGGGGCCTCCCCTTGGCACGTCCCTCTCCTCACTCTTCCCCTCTTCCCTTAGATAAACCTCACTCCCAGCCGCCATCTCTACTAGAAGCCTTCCTCCACTGGCCTTCAGCCTCGAGGTGATTCAGGTGACCCAAGTCCTGCCTTTTTGGAGGAGATGCTGACAGAATCTTTGAGGATACTGTTATGTTGGATTGAAAGCCTGAGGAGGATGCTGCAGGAAGTGAGGATGTTTCCCCTCTAGGATCCAAGTGTTCCTCACATCAAACCTCCAGAAGGAACAGTGAGGAGGGTCAGCCAGGCACGTTCCTGACAAGGGACAGCCTCGCCTTCCCCACATTCGAGGCTGGGAACTGCAGACAACCAGGGCTCACACCCCAGAAGGTTTTCCTGATATTTATGTTTGTTCCCTTCTTTAATTCTGTCCTGCACTTCCTCAGGGTTTCTCTGAGGAATGTTAATGACAGACTTTCTGACTAGAACTTATTTGCTAAAACACCACGCGGGGACAGAAGGGAGGGATCACAGGCCATGGGACACCCTTGGGGAGAAATTCTGATGAAGCAAAGCAGGTTTCCTTTGTTAGGGAAATCTCCTGGTGTTGGTTTGGACACTTTGAGCCAGAAACTAGTACTGCCCAATGAATCACAACAGAAAAAAGCTAACAGGCTACACTGCCACCTAAAAATTGTCTAGTGGAGAAGTCTGCCCTTTGTAAACTCCAAAATTCTAGGCCGAGCAGAAGATTACATCCTGCAGTGCTGTGTAAGGCAAAGAACTGACCACACACGAGCCCCTAAGGAGAAGTAGGCTTTGTTTTTTTTTCTTTTTAACTTTTTATTTTAATTCCAGTATAGTTAACACACAGGGTAATATTAGTTTCAGGTGTACAATATAGTGATTCAATAATACATCACCCGGTGCTCATCACAAGTGAACTCCTTCATCCCCATCACCTATTCTGCCCATCTCCCCACCCCCTCCCCTCTGGTGACCATCAGTCTGTTCTTCACAGCTAAGAGCCTGTTCCTTGGTTTGCCTCTCTTTTTTCCCTTTGCTTGTTTGTTTTGCTTCTTAAATTTGACATATGAGTGAAATCATACGACATTTGTCTTTCTTGGACTTATTTTGTTCAGCATAATAGCTTCTAGCTCCATCCATGTTTTTGCAAATGACAAGATTTCATTCTTTTTTTTTATGGCTGAATAATATTCCATTGTATTCAAAGGTAGGCTTTTTAAAATTTGCCTCCTAACTTGGCACCAGAATTTCTCAATGCTAGTGAAATGTCTTTTATACAATACCTAAGATTAGCTACATGTTGTTTCTAAAAAAAGTCCACAGTTGCTATAGCTGAATTGACAGAATGTCTAGCATTTCAGTTATATTCTCCCTGCTTGCACTTACTTTTCAAAGCAAAACACAAAAATCCCAAATAACAAAAACCTTGTAATATTCCCAACAAAGGACTTCCAGATGCTTTAGGCCCAAGCACCCACTCTGAGCTTCACGCTTGTCAAGGAGGGGAGGCAGCCTCTCCTACAAGCTCAGGGCCCACTGGGCTGTGTGCTCACACTCAAAAAAGCTACCACAGGAGTCTTGGATATGTTGGATATGCTCCTAAAAGCACAAAGCAACTCCTTCACTTTCTCTAAGGCCACATGTCTTTAGGCCACAGACTTTAAAGCCACTGTTTTTACCCCTCTGGTCATAGAATTTTCAAAAATAAACCCTCCCAAATCTGCCCAAACCCATGATCCATGTTCCTGAATGATGCACAATATACCTACATACACGTAAGCTTGAGTACATCCTCTCAAGGTCCCCTGAAGAACAAATTGCTGGAAAAGGGTATGACGTAGGGAGAGACAGTGTCATCCCTTTGCACCAGAAATATATACTCCCCATCTATGGGGTGACGGCAGGTAGGATTTTCCCCATGAAGTTTCTAGAAGCACCAACCCTTGGACAGAAGAAAACTTGTAATAAACTCCACAGGAGGGTTGTTTACATCCATTTCATAGACCATCAACACCAGTAACATCTGATATTTTCAACGGGACCAAATGAATGCTAAGCAAGTCGTAATTAACTATTTCCATATTCTAATTAGCATCTTCACACTTAAAATCACACCTACATCCTGGGCCTCAGACAAGTCGGTTCACGTGTCTGAGCCTTTACTTTCTGGTTGCATTTCAAATGGTACCAAGACATCTTTCCAGAGTCTCCTAGGGCCCATCTCTTGGTGAGCATTAACTAGTGTCTGCCACAGGTCAGGCGATGGAAAGCCTGTAGGCAGGACACATGAAATAGGAGGCTGGGCCGGCGCATTCCCTTAAATGCAAAAACCAAAGCAATTAGGCACAGTCAAATCCCAGCCAGAAAAAACAGACATCAAAAAGAGGTAATTTCTTCAATATTCTGCCTGCTGAAGGGTTTTCAAGCAGGCCTAATTTCAAAAGCGATTACAATTTAAAGGAAAAATTCCATGTCACCTGAGAAAGAAAACAAATAAACGAGGCACCGAGTTTTTCGAATTAAAATTTCTATCCTTATATTAGTGCTGGCATGGAGGGTCCCCATTTCACTAAATCTAAGACACCAATGCCTATAAACCTGCATGATTAGGTTACACATCCCAGAAACAAGACAAGAGCTCCCAATTAAACTATGGCTTGCCAGAAGCTGTAAAATACACCCCAACACCCAGGTCCTTATATTTTGGGAAAAAAATGGCATGTCTGAAGGATAAAATATGGTATTATTAACACTGTTGTAAAGAGAGGAAGAGTAACAGGTCAAACAGCTCCTGTGAGTATAGATCCAAAGCGTGAAGTCCATTTGTATTGTAAATACTGCCCACTGAGGTTATGAAGTGAAATATACACCAGCTGACATGGTATATTACTATGTTTTGACTAGTAATTTCCTACATTGTGTCCCCAAACTACATATGGTATATGCTGCCATTTTTGTGATAATCTAAGACATCTGAATATAAATTCAAGAAATAGAAAGACAAGCTACTCTTTTAAGCTACCAGAACAGATGCACAGATCTTCCACAGAGGACCAATCTCAGCTGCTTTATGCCTTACAAATACCAAATTCCCCACCATCGCGGCTCATAGTAAGCCAGCAAACCTAACAGGTTACTCTTGGTTAAAGAAAGCATCCATCCTAGAAGACAGAGAGTTCAATATTCCTGTTCTTAGAAACATTTTTAAACCATAAATGAGGAATCACTAATATTAAAGTCACAGGCAACTGGTAAACAAGATAAAAAGTAAGATCTAGCATCAGCAAAGTTATCAAAATATAACACAAGTCTCGGGAAAACAGTTCAGGTCAAATTACTTTGCTCAAGCCTATTTCCACATAAGGGACCAATGACATTTCTGTCTTTGGGGGGGGTCCCTATCTTCGGGAGGTTACTAAGAGTTGATTATTTCCCCAATCAAGATAATTTCCATTTTTCAACAACATTTTAGGGCAAGGTGCCCATTTAGTCTTAGATTCAGCAACTACATACATTGAATACTAAATTTTCTTTGTTTAGATAGCTTCTTATAACACTCATACTGTTTCTGATCAGGCTACGGCATTAAAAAGCTAACCTCACAGAGCCTACCCATGAAAACTGACGATGGCAGCCTTTCAGGAGTTTTCAAATTAGGCCTGACCACATGGTTAGAATCCTTCAAAGTCAGCATTGCTACTTAGAATACAGAGCCTTCATCATGTTTAACAAGAAAGCAACATGAAAAAAGAAATCAACCACAAAACCTACACCAATATCTCTTCCATAATAGAAGACTGCCCCAAAATTTCAAATCAAATCCTTAAAAAAAAAAAAAAAAAATCATGAAAGCTTCACAACGTTTCCTTTTAAACTAGATTTCTCTAAAGCTTAATAGCATCCTTCAGAAGCAGACAAATAGGCCCAAGAGACAAAGGGAATTTTTCCATTTAATGTTAGGTTATAATAATGTCATATATGCTTGAACCATCTATGATGAAAGGACTTTAGAGAAAGTGCCCCCAGGAGGCGGTGTCCTTAAAGACCCAGCCTCAGTCTAGCACTGCTGTAAATCTTACCTTCTGGGTGTTTGGCTTGATACAGCGAACAAAGAAAGGATTAGAGGAGCTTAGCGTTGCCATTAAGGAATGCAGTGAGTCCTATTAGAAAGGAAAAAGTATATGTTGATTTAGTCTCTTACTATGTCATTCTTTAGATTTCTCAGCATTCTAGGCACTGATCAGAAACAGGAATAAAAACCAATATAAATCATAGGACTAATAGTTTTTACTTTTAACGTTGTCATTCTAATATAAAATAAAGCCAAGACACTACAATTCGTAGTCACTGAAATTATTTCACAATATACAAAGCTCATTTGTCACTTCTTTGAAATAGTATCATTAAAAACAAAAACACCGTGTTAACCGGCAAAGAAGTAACCCCAGGCTATTTCGATGTTGCGTACAAAAACCCTGTCCTCTCCCCCTTGGAGTTTTTTTCTCCTAATTCATTATTTCCATCAAAATGAGTCTCTACCAGTATTCCACAATCTCTCAACTCTTACCCTCAAATCACCAGGCAGATCAATCTTCTGTAATACTTTTTTTTTGTTTGTTAAGATTTTTTGTTGTGGTGGTTGTGAAGAATTTTTAACATTTCCCAAAGCAGACAGAGTGTGTAATGAGCACTCATCACCAGCTTCAGCTCATGGCTAATCTCATTTCATCTGATCCCTGTCTGCGTACATACTATGCCCACCCTTCATAGGAAAGCAAATCCCAGACAGCGTATTAGTTCATCCGTCAAGATTTCAGTGTGTTATTAAAGGCTACACACTTTCAAACATGTATGCCATCACCAGATCATCATCCTAAAAAGCTTTAATAGAAATTCCTTAATACCAATATTAAAAGAAGCAACTGTCTCAAATTTCATATTAAATCTTCAAATGTCTCAAATTTCATAATTTTTAAATGGTCTGTTCTTTGGGGTGCCTGCGTGGCTCAGTTGGTTAAGCGTCCGACCCTTGGTTTCAGCTCAGGTCACGATCTCAGGGTCGTGAGATGGAGCCCTCTGTGAGGCTCCACGCTCAGTGCAGAGTCTGCTTGAGTCGCCCTTACCCCGCCAAATAAATAAATAAATCTTAAAAAAAAAAGGGTCTGTTTTTTGAAATCAGAATGTAAATGAAGTTCTCGTATTGCAGTTGACGGGTCTTTAAGTCTCTTTAAAACCACTGGTTTTCCCTCCATTTCTGGCTCCTTTTTCTTCTTACAATCTTGCTGAAGAAACTGGGTTGTCTAGGGCACTGCATTGATGAGTTACTTCTCTGCTTCGAAAGCTTTAGGATTTCTCACAGATGACAAAATGGCCTGGTACACATGGCCCTTCATATCTTCTGGTACCAGTTTAACTCCATACAAGGCATCCTGTCAGCTGGCCCCCTCTACCCACACTCTTAGAGGAACAGAATCCAAAACTCCTGTCTCAGGACTCCTTCCTTTCTCCTGTCTGGTCTCTTGACCTGGAAGGCCTGCCCACTCTCTGCCATTTCCCTGATTCCTAGTGCAATTTAACCCCCAAATACCCACAAAGCCTTCCAAGGCAATTCCAGGCAACACCGCCCTAGAAAAAGGAAATGTAACAACTCCACCGGAAGACTAAGAGTCTAGGTTTTAGAGTCAGACAGGGTCACTTCAAATCTTAGTTTCAGTTCTTAGAGGGACTGAAGGGGTCTCTATCTCTCTACACCTCAGTTTCCTCATCTGTAAAATGGGGACCACCGTACATACTTACAAGGTCATGGAAGAAATGAACAAGATAGCGTGCATGAAGTGATTAGCCCAATGACTGGCACATAATACATACCCAATAAATGGCAGCTATTTTTATTATAACACCTGGGTCAAACCTGCCCATCCTATCACACAATCCAGCACCGTGAGCAACGCTGGTGTGTCCCTGGCTCATCACCAGCTGCCCTGTACAACAGACCTCACACAGAACCCCCCCGGATGCATCCTGCTCTGAGTAACTAAATGAAAGACAGACTCTTTGAAGGCAGATTTAATAAATGTCTACTGACTGACATGCCTCCACTTCTCTTCATATTAGGATCTGTTACTTGCGGGTAAAATGGAACAATTAAGTTGGGAAAATAGTCTTCGTATGCTCTACCTCTAAACTTTCTAAAATGGCCAAATATTTAAAATGCAAATAAGAATGGTCCTTATTTTCCCTGAATTCTGGGTATCTGGACAAGGTAACTGACATTGACCTTATTCAAATATGCACTTACTTGGTCATTATTCCTAGTTATGATACTGTCAACATATCTGGGAAAAATACAAAAATCCACACGTGGAAAGAAATATACTCTATATTCATATGAGCCTCTAAATACAAATCAAAGTGATCCCACATGGCCAAACGGTCCTTCAACTTAGAATATGTAGCTATTTATTTCTAACAAGACAAAAAAAAACACCTACATGTTTTCATCTGACTCAGAAAAAGTATATTTTATTTTGAAAGCACTGTCTGGTGCCATAAAAGAGAAAAAACCAAATACTTTTATGGACCTCACATCCCCCCAATTTCTGCTTTCAATTCCTAAAATCACAGCAACCGTGGACTCATGAAAGCCAGCAGGGCAGACTAACCTTGAACTGTGAGCTGACTGTGGGCCGTCGATGTTTGCTTCCACATTTCAAGGTATCCTGGTTATTGCGGCTTGAAACGTGTTCAAACAGGTCATAGATGAAGTCGAATCTGTGTGAGCAGAGAGCAGGAGGGCCGTGAGGGGCCCAATTATTAGGTGCTGGATTACTGTAATTACCATGCCTGTTTCCCACTGATAGTGACCCATGAAGTCCAGGAAGAACTAGGACAGCTTCCAAAGATTTCAAAGCACCCATTGCCAAAGAGCTTTAGGCACTGAAAAAAAAAAATTGTGGCCCCCTTCTGAGCACTAGCATCTTGCAGAAGAGAAGCAGACTGGGATGAAAGTGACCCAGGGTGACATGCCATTGAGGAGCGCTGTGTTTCCAGAGGGCCACCTAAATTCCTTGCAGCCTTGATGTCTTTGCCTGGTGAAGGGAGACGGTTTTGCCCATCTCACAGTGTTTCGCAGATCCACCCAGTTAACAGAGGGAAAGCTGCTCATCTGCAGTGAAGTACACTGGGGTTTCAATCCTGCCTCCATCCCTTCCAAGCCACATGACTTGGGCAGATGCTGGACTTAGCCTCATTTTTCATTTGAAAAATGAAGGTAATTTTAGAATTTATGTTACTGCTAAAAAATTCTATAAAATTGCCACTACTAATAAAAAGTAAAAGTCTTCTCAACGACTTCCTATCTTTCTTGCATGGAAGATGCTATAGCCGTGGGCTGTGAAGTGGGGGGCGGGTGGCTTCCCTGAGAGCAGGGAAGGCCTGGAGGACATCTGAGCATCCACCCCTCTGAAGGTGGCAATGTCAAGCCTGTCCCGCCACTTCTCACTTTGCCCCCATCCCTTTTTCACTTTTGTTCCAGGGTGCTATTTCGTGCTCACCCTTTGAGGTTCTCTAACTGTGCTTTGAGCACTTTGGAGAAAAGCTCGGGTTCTGTTAAAATGTCATAAGTGTCAAAGGTGAAAGAGAGCAGAGGCAGCCCCTCACAGTTTTGTAGAGAGAAACCTGGACTGGAACAGAAACTTCTTTACTCCAGTCACAAAACCCCTTTACGTGAAGGCAGAGGCGACCAGCCAAACACCACCCTGCTGACCTCCACACCTGTGATCTTCCCACAGCCAAAGGCTTCTATTTAACATCAAGGTCATTTTTAAATGTATCATTTAAAATCTAACAACCAAGAAATTGCTTTGATAGATAACATGTTATGGTATTTTTCAAACATCACCACTCTTATTTTTTAACCTTTTTTTTTTTTTTTTTTAAATAAACTCTGCTCCCAACGTAGGGCTTGAACTCAGGACCCCGAGATCAAGAGGCACATGCTCTACCGACTGAGCCCGCCAGGTGCCCCTGAATGTTGCCATTTTTATAGACCCAAAAACTCATCTAAAAATAAGAACAGCTGACAGTGCTGTAAACGGGTAATCTTCCCACAGGAAAGTTAAAACAGATCTAAGTATCTTCCAGGTCTAAGCTCCTAAACTGACATTGTAGGTGGGTTTCCTTCACCCCAATTCACAGCGGTCTGTGTGACCAGGTGGCCACCGACATTTACATTCCTAAAAGTATTAGGGTTTTTAATAATTGTGCTACTTTCCTTCCTCAGATAATAAAAATTTGTTTCTGTAAAGAGATTCATGCTGGATCTGAAACAAGTATCGAAAGCTTCACCCCAAGGGTTATTTCTTGCCCTTTCTCCCACACACAGCCTTCTGCTTTAAAACACACAAACGGCTGGACTAACCAGCTACTGATGTAATGGTGTGAATTTACAATTCATGAATGAATAAATGAAGGTGTAAGTTTGTCATCTTAGCTGAGTTAATACTTGTTTATTTTTTCTGACATCCCTTAAACTAGAGACAGATGGGGTCCTACAGACCCAAGGCTGAAACCAATTTAACACATAGCTACTCTAAGCTTGTTGTGAAGAAAGGAGGTCATCCTGGTTATGAACTTAGGTTCTGGAGCCAAGCAGAGCAAATCAAAACTAGCTGTGGGTTCTTGGGCAAGGCACTTCACTGCTCCAAGAATTAGTCTGTTCATCTGCATACCAGGATTAATAGTCTCTAACTCATGGGTGTGCTGTTCTTAGGGTACCTCATTAAATGGGAGTCACTGTTACTTGTACTACTTTCTATATCTCGGTCATTTTATTAATGAAATATTGCCCATGAAAGGAGATAATAAATCAAGTTGCTTCCATATTAATTTTTTCTGTATCTGTAAATTAAAAGAATTGGCACAAGTAATAGTTTGCTTGCTAAGGATGTCTTGGGGAGGAGACTGACATACCGGCTTTCTCTTAGCAAGTTGAGAAGATCATCTCTAAAGGTATCTCTGTTCTTCTCCAAGATGCCCCGGACATCATACTGCACCTGGTTTTTACAAAAAATAAATGAGAAATGGTACAACTGATCAAAAGAATAACTTCGGGTCATAAGCATCTCCTTTAAAAGCCAGACCCATGAAGAGAAGTCATTTTGATACATTTATGATTGGCTCCTGAAATTACTATTTCTCCAAATACCAAATGGGCAAATATCAATAAGGATCTTAATTAGGAAGTTACCTCTCCAGCGTAGTGTTTCACTCCAAAATTGTTGACTGCAACTCTGGGCTTCACGTAAAAGTGGTTATTCTAACAAAGAAACAAATACAAACGCCTAATTTCACTTACTGATTTGCACTGACTTCCCAAAAGAATTAACTACAACAGATCGTGAAAACAATTTGAAAACCCACCGCACTTCAGAGGTTTAGGTCAGAGTGTGTGATACACTTTATCAAAACCACACAGGACTTGTCTGTCATCGCAGAAGTGAGGTTAAATTCTATACTCATCAACTAAATGTGGGCACGTTCTGACGAGTAGCCCCAAATCTATCCCTTTAACTTATTTCAACTTAGTTCTAGCATCTGGAGAAGACAGCTTTGCTTTGAGAAAAAAATTACATGTGGGAAGCACAGCAGAGCCAACAGCACTGAAATATCTTATGTGTAATCTTAATCCACAGATCTGCTACTCAGACATAATTAAGAGTTGGCAGGTTTTGACATACAGCGTGTTGACTGTGTAACTTCTCCAGTAAGGTGCTGTCTGTGGCTTGAGGAAAATGGCTTTCTTCATTGATAAGGGCGAGGAGACCAAGTTTCTAGAAGAGAGAAGTTAAATGAATTAAAAGTTGAATGCCTCAAAATATTTCAGAGCTTCCTTCCCCCCTCTCAAGTATTTGTTAAAGGAAAAGGCACAGCAATTTCTTGGTTTAAAAAAATTCAGAATGATTCTATGAAGACATCCCATGAATTTAAGTGTCACAGAAACATGGAAAAATGGAACCCACCACAATTTTGTGGAGGAAAGTACAAGTGGCCAGTCTACTACTGGTGGTGGCAAAGTTTTCGATGCTGACAAAGTCTAAGTGAAGCCGATTCACATACTATTGATTCTAAAATATGGAGTTCAATGAGACAATAGGCTTGAAGCTGCCAAGTATTTAAATTCAACCTTGCACATTTGCATGTATGTTTCCAAATGGTCCATTGTGTTCTAAACATTCACATCTTTGATGTACATGTTCGCACAAGCTATTTTGTTCCCATAAATATGAATCAGCCCAGCGGGACACCCTTGGGACTGCTACAATGCTTCAACAATGTTACCTTCTCAATCAGGTCCAAGCATTCACCATTGTCTATCCAGTCAATGTCTTCCCACACCAATCCCTCCCTGTAGCAAGATTTAAAAGGGCTAGGTTATAATAAAATAGAGCTTTAAAGCTATCTAATTAAGTGGCTGATTTTAAAAAAAAATTTTTTTTTTGAAGTGGAATCCTATGAGTGCTTACCTGCTATATTCTAGTTGTTCCAGAGAAAAAATATGTTTGTTGAAATATTCCTGAAGTTTCTCATTTGCATAGTTTATATTGAACTGCTCGAAGTGATTAACCTAAGGGGGGTGGGAAACCATTCAACAAGTATCTTCAGTGCCCTTACTATTACATACACAGGTAAAGAAAAGGAAAAATAAATCTGTGGAGAAACATATCAATATTTATTTGAAAAGATTAGTTTACGATCAGTCAATAAGTGGATAGAAAAGAATTCATGCATCCCACTCGTCAGAAGCATACCTCAAAGTTTTCGAATCCAAAGATGTCAAGAATGCCAATGGATTTAAAGTCATCTTTGCCTTTGATCCTGCTGTTAATCTTCTTAATCACCCACTCGAAGCAGCGTGCGTAAAGTGCCATGGCCAAGGAGTCTCTGCTGTCTTCGGCCTGGGGGAGAGGAAACACGGTGACCGTCTCCGCTGACCCCGGACAGCCTGGGCAGGCAAGTCCATCCCTGCCCCCTCGAAGACACACGCACTGAACAGGAATAACACCTGTGCACCCAATACCAAGTAAATTAGTACCATCTAGGAAAACACAGGTGTCTAAAGAAAGGGTGAACTGGAACTCACTCACTCTACAGTAGGATTCGCTAGGACGCCCTTTACACAGCAGGCTTTCAAACTCAAGTTTTTATGTTGAGTTACAGGTAAAAATCTGAACCAACATATATAGAGCTACAAATTTTATCAGGTTTAAGACAACAATTAAGGCCTGAGTTTTCTCATGATCATCTTCTCATAATCTACTTTTTAAAAAATTTTTAAGATTTTTATTTATTTGAGAGAGAGAGAGAGAGAGAGAGCATGAGCGGGGTGAGGGGCAGAGGGAGAAGCAGACTCCCCACTGAGCAGAGAGCCCGATGTGGGGCTCGATCCCAGGACTCTGGGATCATGATCTGAGCTGAAGGTAGACACTTAACCAACTGAGCCACCCAGGCACCCCTCATAATCTACTTTGAACACAGAAAAATTTTCTTCATGGTATGTACGATTAGCATTTTTACTTACCCAATCAAGAAACTGATATTAGATGGGCTGGCACATATAATTGGCTCAAGGCAGTAGCAGAAGCAAAACTAAGTACTACTACATAAATAATAACAATAAATTACAATAGCTCATGTTTATTTATCACTTAAGTAACTGGCATATATTTATTATTATCCTTACAAGAATTCTATGAATTAAGTATGATAATTATCCCTGTCTTACAGAGAAGGAAACAGACGCAATGAATGCATTCCCCAAAAACGGAAAGTAGTATGTCAGGACTTGAACTCAGGAAATCTCCATCAGACCCAGTCCTCTTAGACACTCGGCTGCACTATCTCTAAGAAAACGAACAACTTTGTCTCTTCCCCTCAGCTGGGCTATCTTCTTTATTTTGCTCATTTGAATGGTTCGTTGTAGTCACTTATTTGAATCAAAGCTGTGAATGTGAAACCCCAGGAGTGTCTTTTAAAACAAGCTCTGATAGCGAAGGCACGTACCTGTTGAACAGTGAGAGGTGTGAGGATCTCTTCCCCCCTGAGGAACATGGATCTCTGCGTCAGAGCATCCGTGAGCTGTGCGGAGTCCAGCCCAAGTAGCTCGGCAGACCTGCCCAAGGCTGGAAATGAAGAACAAGGGGAAAGTGGATGCACTGAGCCAAGAAGGAACGGGCCACGGGACTCCAAAGCTAACTCCACAAGGCAATACATTACAGCAGAGAACATTCCTCAATCCCTCAGGTAGAATTTACAGAACACACTTTCTACTGGTAAGTTGTTCACTCCCTCAATGGGTCTCAGGCTAATAGCAGAGAACCTGGCGCTTGGACCAAGTGTGGTCCTGAGACCCCGAGGCAGGGGCTACCCAAGACCTGCCAGAGGCTTGCAAGGTCCTAACTATTTTCTGTGATATTAAGATGTCCTTTGCTGTTTTACTCTCATTCCCTTACCATGGTACAGAGGAGTTTTCTAGTGGCTACATGACATGAGGTATCTCAACAAACTGAATGCAGAAGCAGATAAGAGAATCTAGCTGTCCTCCATGACATCAGATGCTTTAAAAGTTTGCAAAAATGTAAGACAGTGTCATTCCATTTTTAAGATTTTATTTATTTGAGAGAGAGAGAAAGAGAGAGAGCACAAGCAGGGGGGCAGGGGGACAGGGGGAGTGGCAGGCAGAGGGAGAAGCAGGCTCCCCGCTGAGCAGGGAGCTCGACGCCGGGCTTGATCCCAGGACCCTGGGATCATGACCTGAACCGACTGAGCCACCCAGGTACCCCACAATGCCATTCTTCTCACGGATTTTCTTTTGTTTTGGAAAACAGTCTTTTAAATAAAAACACGATTATTTCTTTTAATAGGAAATGGGTTTTTTACAGTTATTTCAAAATTAATTAGTTTTTTACAACACCTCAGTTAATTTCCAAGGCAGTAACATGAACAGACATGACCCACATAAACAATAGCTCTTTGGAGTTCTCTATGGATTCAAGATGATTCAGAGGCGCTGGGACAACATGTTTGAGAACCACTGACCTACAGCGCTGTCCTCGCCTATAGCCCTTTCAACCTTTAGCGCATCCAATCCCCAAGGCTTCGTGCCCTACACGCTGCTTCCATCGGGAAAGTTCCAGAAGTAAATACAGAAATCACTTCAGGAAAAGTGTATATATGATTAGCATTTTTACTTACCCAGTCAAGAACAACTGGAAAAGGACAATTGACATAGTGATGTGCGTATTAATTTTTAGTCTTGACAACACGTCAGCGAAGCACGTTATAGATAAGACATCACTAGAGTTGGGGGATACGTAACTCAAGGAAACAGGCTGTGGCAGAGCTGAACAGTGAACAGCATTTCCACCCGAGAATGAATGGTCTTCCCAGGACACGACGTCACCGCTCACAAACTATGCAAAAGAACGCAACACCACACCCCTGACCCCTATCATTCTTCTACATCTAATCCTCGTTGCTCGTATTTCTTTACTGGGTCCATTTTCCTCTGTCCTTGCTAAGAATGAGAACACAGCCACCATCCCCTCCAAAAATCACTCCTCTTAGGCTTGGACCCTTTCTTAGCTGACAGTTCCCATCAAATACGAAGCTCTGCAAGTCTCTGTCCAGGGTCAGAAAGCTCTTTCTGTAAAAGGCCAGACAGTAAATATTTTAGGTCTAAGTTCCCTATGAGGAAAAAGCCAAGGGAGGGAAGGAGGGAGGAGGCATCCTACCCGTTTTGAAGGACACTTGGGCCCCACCAGCAGTGATAAATTCTATGTTCCCAAGATGTAACACACCAGCAAGCAACCTCAAAACCTCCCAAACTTCTTCTTTGCTGAACTGCATCACTTCCATCGCCGTCTGAAAGAAAATCAATGTATTTAAGTTTTTGTTGTTTTTCTTCCATAGTAAAGAAAATGAAAAACCCATTACTCAGTAAAATTGTTAGGTACTGTTCTAAAGGCAAGAAAACAAGAAATAGATTCATGACCCCTCACTTTTAAATGATAAAGCCTTTGCACAGGCACTCATAACAGAATGTGATATTACAGAAGAACTGTACAATGTGGAGAGATCACCCAATCGATGACATAAAATGAGATATCTGCCTTATTAGGTACAAGTCTGCCAGTGACACCACAGAAGAATTACCTGAGAGTCACAGTAATGATGGTGAAAAAGAAATGCTTTTTCTGTAGATACTGAAGCAAAATGGAATATTTATTTTCTTGCACATAAGTTGGTGGGGAAGGGGAAGGCTTCATGGAACTGCTCCAGTGTAAATTTCAGGGCTTTTCCTTAATGGCTAAATGCAGCAGGAACCCAAGTCAGAGGAATAAAATTCTCTATTAGGAACTCTGTAGATAGGAGAGTCTCTGCTCCTTTTATAATAGATACTGATGGATTAGATGAATGGATTCAGATCAGTCTTCCCTAGACATTCATCACATCTCTTTTTAATTTCTCCAAAGAACTTTTAAAGATCTTGTCTTGGCCCCTCCATAGGAAATGGAAGTTAACATAATGCTGTTTGGGGGAAAATAAAAATAAACAGGCCCCTACAGGAGAGGAGGTTTGTTCCCAAATACAAGTATCTAAACAACTGAAGTCAGGTATTGTCTGAATCACATCGAAGATCTGCTCATTTTCTATTGTGATTGATTGATTGATTTCAGAGATGGGGGTGCAGGGGGGAGAGGGAAAGAATCTTAAGCAGGCTCTGCACCTAACGTGGAGCCTGACACGGGGCTGGATCTCAGGACGCTGAGATCATGACCTGAGCAGAAATCAAGAGCTGGACACTTAATGCTTAACCAACTCGAGCCACCCAGGTGCCCCTCTATTATGATTTAGAAGCCATACCCTTGTCAAGAAAAAAGCACCCCGTTCCCCCAACTGAGGACAGAATTGTTGGCAATACTGATGAAAATGACCTACCAAGAGCACGTGGGCCCACAATGCAATAATCGTGACAATGACAATCACTTCAGGGGATTAGGAAGGAAACTGGGCACCACTGTGAAGCAGTAGAAATTGTAAAAGGAAACAACTGGAGATTTAAAATGTGAAAAGTTTTAACTTCTTTACAAGGAAAAAACAAAGTTGAAACAAAAGGCAAAAACAATAGGCAGGACAACAATTTAAAAATTATAAGGGAAGGAGCAATAGCTTAGCCATAATAAAAGAGATATGAACAACAAAAATAAAATAGGCATTTCTTATGGGAGCATATGCAAATCCTTCCTAGAAATCAAACATGTACTAATCAAAGAAAATCTGAGATAGTTTCTATTAAATTAGCAAAAAACTTGTGACTGATAAACCTAAAATTGGTGAAACTGGGACATTTATGCACTGATCATTGGTGCCATACGTTAATATGATCTTTTTGGAAAACAAGATTATATGCCGCAGATGTACATAAACTTATAATGTTCAGAGAGGTTCAATAACTTTCACAGGGTTGCACAACCAATATTCAAAGTCAGGCCCAATGAACCCAAAGTCCACAAACTTATTATCCAGCCGATGTTATTACTTTCTAAAGACATAAAAAGAAAAAAAGCAATCTCTTATATAATCTTCCATAACTTCCATGCTGGAAATTAATTCCAAGGAAAATCTCAACAGAAAAAGGAAGTTCTATAAAATATTCACTGCAGTGTTATATTAACACATCGAGAAAAAAATTCTAACTATCCTATAATGAGACAAGTCAAATACAGCAATAGTTGAGAACAGTTCAATAGTTTAGAATAGTGTGTACTTTTTAAAGGAAATTATGATCATCCAGAAACATGATTTATGATAGCTTTATGTAAAAAGTTTAAAATTATATTTTTGTGGGGTGCCTGGCTGGTCGCTAAAGCATGGGACTCTTAATCTTGGGGTGATGAGTTCAAGCCCCATGGTGGGTGTAGAAATTACTTAAAAAAAATAAAACCACATTATCAGTAAATTTTTTAAAAATTATATTTTTGCAACTTTTTTTTTTAAAGTAATCTCTACACTCAATGTGGGACTCGAACTTACAACCTCAAGATCAACAGTCCGATGCTCTACCAAATGAGCCAGCCAAGTACCCCATAAAGAAAACCACGCTGGGAAGTAAATATACTGTATTGAAAATAGTTGCAATGTTAGTGTTGGTAAACTCACAAACATTATGTTCCATCATGTCTTTTAGTGTTTTGACAATATTTTTACAGTAACAGTACAATATTTTTATAGTAACGGTACAATATTTTTACAATATTAATGGGTGAATGGATAGATAAACAAATTGCTGCCTATTCAATGGAATACCACTCACTAGAAAAAGGAATGAACTGTGTTATGTATGATGTAGATGAGTAAAAGGAGCTAGACAGGAGAATACCCTCTGTATGATTTCACTTACAAGAACCTCTAGAAGAGACAAATCTACTGATTTATGCCTGAAAACAGATAAGTGGTTTCCCAGAAGTAGGGTGGCTGGGAAGGGCCAAGGAACTTTTGGAGTAAAGAATCACCCTTCAGGGCGACAAACCATGAGAGACAATGGACTCTGAAAAACAAACTGAGGGTTCTAGAGGGGA